GCCAACAGGAGTAAAGCTTTCTGCTTGGGCTCTATTTTGCTTGTGCCACAGTGCATAGGAGCACCCTTAGGGGACAAGTCAGATAATGTGGACCTTACCCATTGTGTTTTTCTTCTTTCAAGGGTCCTATTCCCTGCAATTACTGTCTGCTTCTGCTGTTCTCCAAAGTCTTCAAATAACTGTTTTTTATATTCTGTCCAGGACTTGTACTTGGCAAGGGGTTAAATTGGAATGTACTCCATCATTACCAGAACTGAAACTCAACTCTACTAAATTTTAAAGGGATACCATTTCCTTCTAACCTGTGTTTGTTTCTTTCTTCCTCCAGGAAATGTATGGCAGGTTAGAATGAGATTTGATTTGGAAGCTGAACGCCTAATTTACTCTGTCTTTCAGACCCACCCAAAAAGCTAAACATGGCCCAGAACTCGCATAGAAATTAAGCACAAAATGGCTCAATACCAGACTATGAGCTGGACCCTAGGTTTGTTGTTTATTAGCTGTGTGACCTTTGCCAAATTATAGACATACCTCATTTTACTGCACTTTGCAGATACTGTGTTTTTCACAAATTGAAGGTTTATGGCAAATCTGTCAACACAACTTTTCCGACATTATTTGCTCACTTCATGTCCCTGTGTCACATTTTGGTAATTCTTGCAATATTCAAGCTTTTTCATTATTATTATGTTTGTTATGTCGATGTATAATCAGCGATCTTTGAGTTACTATTGTAACTATTTGGGGGCACCACGAACCACACCCATATAAGATGATGAACTTCATAAATATGTATGTTCTGACTGCTCCACTAACTGGCAGCTCCCCTGTCTCTCTCCCTCTCCTCAGATCTCCCTATTTCCTAAGACACAACCAATTAGGCCAATTAATAACCTTACAATGGTCTCTAAATGTTTAAGTGAAAGGAAGAATCACAATTTTTCAGTCTAAATCAAAAGCTTAGTGATTCAGCTTAGTGAGGAAGGCACATTGAAAGCCAAGACAGGCTGAAAACTAGTCCTTTTGCACCAAACAGTTAGCTAAGTTGTGAATGCAATGGAAAAGCTGTTTAAGGAAATGAAAAGTGCTACTCCAGGGAAAGACGAAGGATAAGAAAGCCATGCAGCCTTACTGCTGACATGGAGAGAGCCTCAGTGGTCTGGATAGAAGACCAAACCGACCACAACATTCCCTTAGGCCAAAGCCTAATCCAGAGCAAGGCCCTCTCTTCAATTTCATGAGGTTTAAGGAAAGAAGCTGTCTCTGAAACACAAAAGGGCAGGTGGAGCAGTAGCTGCAGCAAGTTGTCCAGAAGATGTAAGGTCAATAAGCAAGGTGGCTACACTAAACAAGTTTTTTTTCATGTAGATGAAACACCCTTCTTTGGAAGAAGATGCCATCTAGGACTTTCCTAGATAGAGAAAAGTCAAAGCCTGGTTTCAAAGCTTCAAAGGACAGGCTGACTCTCTTTTTAGGGGTGAAGGCATGTGGTGACTTTCAGTTGAAGTCAATTCTCATTTAGCATTATGAAATCCTAGAGCCTTTAAGAATTATGCTATATCTACTCTGTGCTCTATAAGAGGAACAACAAAGCCTGGATGACAGCACATCTGTTTATAGCATGGTTTACTGAATGTTTTAAGCCCACTGATGAGATCTACTGCTCAGAAGAAAAGACTTCTTTCAAATATTACTGCTCACTGACAATGCACCTGGTCGCCTGAGAGCTCTGATGGAGACGGACAATGAAATTAATGTTTTCATGCCTGCTGACATAACACCCACTCTGCAGCCCATGGAACAAGTAGTCATTTTGACTTTCAAGTCTTAAGAGATACGTTTCGTAAGGCTATAGCTGTGATAGATAGTGATTCCTCTGATGAATCTGGGCAAAGTAAATTGAAAACCTTCTGAAAAGGATTCACCATTCTAGATGCCATTAAGAACATTCATGATTCAGGGGAAGAGGTAAAAATATCAACATGAACAGGAGTTTGGAAGAAGTTGATTCCAACCCTCACAGACAACTTCATGCTTTCAGTGGAGGAAGTAACTGGTGGAAATAAGAGAACTAGAATTAGAAGTGGAGCCTGAAGATATGACTGAATTGCTTCAACTTCATGATAAAAGCTGAATGGATGAGGAGTTACTCCTCATGGATGAGCAAAGAAACTGGTTTTTTGAGATGGAGTTTCCTAGTGAACATGCTATAAAGACTGGTGAAATTTAAGAATTCAGAATATTCTACATACTTACTTGGTAAAGCAATGGCAGGGTTTGAGAGGATTGACTCCAATTTTGAAATAAGTTCTACTGTGGGTAAAACGCTATCAAATAGAGCATGAATGAAAGAGTCAACTGATGTGGTAAACTTCACTGTTGTCTAGTTCAAGATATTGCCACAGCCACCCCAATCTTCAGCAACCACCACCCTGATCAAGCAGTAGCCATCAATACAGAGGCAAGACCCTCCACGAGCAAAAAGATTACAACTCACTGAAAGCTCAGATGATGGTTAGCATTTTCTAGCAATAAGGTTATTTTTAAATTAAGGTATGTACATTATTTTTTTAGGCATAATGGTACTGCATATTTAAAAGACTACAGTCTAGTATAAACAACTTTTAAGTATATTGACTGCTTTATTGCAATATTCACTTTATTGTGGTGGTCTGGAACCAAAGCCACATGGTCTGAGGTAGGTCTGTACTACTAGACCTGAGGTAGGTCTGGCCTGAGCTTCTCAGCTGTAAATAGGGTACAATAACAATCATACCTACTTCACAGGACTACTAGAAGGGGGATTAAATGACTTAAGTGGCCTATACTTTGTAAGTGCTAATAAATGGTAGCCATTTGGTGATAACGATGATGATAGCCACCACAGCCAGCAGTCTTCGGCAGCAACACCTCCTCTCCCCAAAGCGCAGTCCCTTCAGAAGTGATGGTGCTTGCAGTTAACTGTTTAATTATGGAAACTCCAGCTTGTAGAAGTACCTCAAGAAATAGTTAACTCCTTAACTTCTGGCAAGTTATCATTGTGCTACCATCTTTAGTAGTGAGAAACTTACCTTTCTGGCTGGTTTACTGAGAGTTGGAAGTAGTTCTTTGCCATTTCTACTCTTTCCAGGTACTGAGCAGAACCCTCTATCAGTTCCTGAAAAAAGTAATAATGGCCTATCAGAGCATTTTTTTACAGAGTGTCATTAAAATAACCTGCTCACCAGCAATTTTCATGGAGGCAGTGTGTGATATGATACATTTTTCAGGAATCATAGGCCTGAGTCTTAGTGCCTGTTTTCTCATCAAAGTCTCTATGTAGGCTCCAGTTTCTTCAAAAAAGGGACTAAGCTACATGTAATAATACCTCATCCTTGTCACCATTATGGACCTCTTCCCAATTCGGAAGGTTTTCTGCCATTTCCTATTACTTAATTAGTTATTAATAAATAATTGATTGACCAGTAATTAATTTACAAAACAAAGTACAAATAAAACCAAAAATAGTGTAATCCCAGCCTAACTATCACTTCTGTTTTTCACATGCATGATTATTTTGGCATACATACTTAATATTTTATATTCTTTCAAAAATATACTATAATATCATGAGCACTTTCCACCTTGCCACAGTCTCATAATCATCATATTCTTATGGACTTCTCTACATCTTGGATGTTTCCTTAAGATCATTCAGTGAAGGTTCTGACTTTTGAACCTATCTATGGTTCTTGGAGCACACTACCAAATTACTTTCCAGCTAAGGATCTACCAATGTCAATGTTATCATCGATGTAGAGGAGTATTAATTTCACTATATTTTCAATAACACTATCATTCATAACCTTTTACATGTGAAAAAGCAGTTATTGTTATGTTCATATGCACATCTTTATTATTTTCCAGTCTATTTTAAAAGAAATTCACTAGTTGTATTTTTGTAATTCTTTAAGTCCATGTCTTCACTCATTTTTAATTTAGTGTCTTCATCTTTTTTTATGATTGTGCAAATTGTTCCTGTGATACAAATAAGTTTTATTACTTTATATGAGTGCTATTAATTTTTCTAAAATACTGGGAACAGTTCACAGTCACTCTCTCATTACCAATGAACTAGAATGCTCTCTTTTAACTCTAGCTTCTGTAATAATGTCACACATTAAATCTGGACCACAGGACTCTAAATCATTGGCTTGATTTTCCTTGGATTGTACAATTTAAAAAATGCATTCCGAGTCCTACCTTAAAGTAGTCATTCTTTTTTAGACTTTCAAGGAAGCCAGTCCAGAGTGGTGAGGTAGTCATGAGGGATTTCTCTGAGTCAGAAAAATGTGGGCTACATTTGGAGCATAAGATCTCAAATCCATGAGCCTAGATGGAATAGACATAATTTTTAAGTTAGTTTCTTTCCACACTCAAGAACTAGGTGAGTGGACATATGAGCATGTGGATATTTACACTTTTTAAATTTTGAATTTTTTTGAAAAATTTTTTGAGTACTTTTAAATTTTATGGAAAATCTGGCTTTATTTCTAAGTTTCTCAATCTTTGTAAATTACTAAAAATTATAAAGGGAAAGTCAGTAATATAAAATAAAGATTCATATTCTCTTCAAAGAGACTTCTTTTCTTGCTAATTACAAAATCAGAAACTTAAACTTGTTTCTTGTTTGCTTACAAAAAGGCTTGTAGAAGATATTTTGTCTAAAAGAAATTATAAATGAATTGAGCATGGTCTCAGACATAGTAAAGGGAGGAAATTACTTCATTTTAAGAGTCCTTTGATTAAAAAATATATTAAGTATACAGGGCAATATAATTCAAACAGAGAGCTTCCCCTGAGCTTCCTCTGGAGGAAATTACTGTTACCAATTTCTTGCACAACCTTTCAGAAGCAAATATGTGTGCATCTGTGTATGTATATCCTCCCACTCCAACCTTTTGTCATTAAATGACAACATACACACTGTTCTGAACCTTGCTTTTCACTAAGTCATATGCCTTGGAGATCATTTCATATGAACACATACAAATTTATTCATCTTATTTCACAGATAGACCATAATTTACTATTCTCTTACTAATAGATATGTTGATTTTCTCCAATCTTTTGCTACTATGACTTCACAAATACAGACCATAATTTAGCTATTCTCTTACTAACAGACACATTAATACTTTACAGTCTTTTGTTATTACAACTGTCCTATCTTCATGATTATCTTCAGATGTTTTTGTGCGCATGTGAAATATATGGAGGATAAATTCATAGAAGTGAAAATGTTGAGCAGAAGGGTCTCTGCATTTTAAATGTTGATGGATTATTGACAACTTATTCTAAAAGACTGAGTCAATTTATATTCCTATCATTTACGTTTGACAGCATCTTTATATATTTTTCACCAATCCAGTATATATAGTGAAAAATTATATTATATAGCATAATAGTGAAAAACACTACTTTGTAGCTTTAATTGCATTTCTTTTATTATACGCAAGTGTTGACATTTTTCATGTTTAAATTAAAATAATTTGTATCTCTTTACCTATGGTCCATCTGTTCACACTTTCTGAACATTTTGTAATTGATTAGTATTATTTTTTTCATATTGAAAAAATATGTAGGAACTTCAGATATTAGAGAAATCAGCTCTTCATTATTTAAATTGCAAATTTAATTGTATTACTTCCTCCAGAATTACTATCTTTTGATTTTATTTATGGGGATTTTTTTTCCAACACAGAAATGTTTCATTTTTACATAATTAAATTTATCAATCTTTTATTTTACAGCTTCTGATTTCAACTCATGCTTAGAAAGTCCTTTCCTACTCAGATTATCAAAAGTTCTCCTGTGTTTTCTTTCAAATTTTATGTTTACAATTTTTTCATTTAAATATTTGGTTCAACTGGAATTTATTTTTTGGTATTAGTGTGAGGGAATCAATTTTAATTTTTCAGAAGGCTTTACAATTGTTCTATCATTATTTACTGAATAACCCCTTTTTTCCTTCTTACTTAAATGTCACATTTTGCTACATTCTCACATGAATAGGGTCTATTTCTAAACTTTCTACACTGTGCCATTATTCTGTTAAGAACCCCCCTTTTTTAAATTAAGGTATCACTAATATATAATCTTATGCTAAGATTTCACATGAGCAACATTGTGGTTACTACATTCTCCCCTATTATCAAGTCCCCACCACATACCCCATAACAGTCACTGTCCATCAGCATAGTAAGATGCTATGGAGTCTCTACTTGTCTTCTCTGTGCTATACTGCCTTCCCCGTGTCCCCCATATTATGTGTGCTAATCATAATACCTCTTAATCCTCTGTTAAGAGCCCTTTTACATAAAGAAAGAAAATAAAATATGCTGGCTCAACATTACCAACTTCATGCCTAATTCATAGGCTCGGTACTGGGGATGAGATGGACGAGGCAGCTTGTATCCGCTCCGCCGGTCTGGCACAAACCTTTGTTGCACCAACTGTGCATACAGACATTTAGTGAAAGTGACCTGGACAATAGGACACAAAATACATCAGTCTTTTCTTGATATTAGAAATCTATATAGTAAATAACTCCATTTATGAGCTTCATATTCATATTCATTTTTAGTAACAGCTTTATTGATATGATTCATATACCATAAAATCTACCTTCACTGTCTGCTTTTTTAGTTGTCACTAGCATAATTCTTATCATTAGTTACATTATATGGGAATTCTGGTGGTAAAAGATAAAGAATAATTCTTAACTCCTTGGAAGAAATGAAAAATTTTATTGTTAAAAAGGAAATAATTATTCAAGCAGGGAAAAAATATGACTAGAAACTGCTAGGAAACACTTGAGTTATAAAACAGGGACTCAGGTCTCCTGAAATCTTCTTCCATTGGATGGGAGAAAAAAAAGAAAGAAATGTGTTATTAACTTCCTATGAGGAAACAGCATATTTCCAATTTTTCCTAGTGAACAATTAAAATAATGTTTAACTTTTTCCAGTAAGAGAAACTACATTACTAATAGAGATATCTTACCAATGTCATTATTCGTGTTTCAGGCAAGAATGTCTTGAAAATACGACAGGCTCTCAAGTCAATGGGGTCCCGGAGGTAAAATGCCTGGACTCCTGCTGCCAGCAATCTGGGGTGCTGCTTTAGCACTGCTACAATGCCAGCTGGAAGGAAGCAGTGCACTCGATGAAGGGAGGCTTGAATTTTTTCTGGGTATCTAGACAGATAACATAATTGCCTTTATTTTATGATATAAAAGCTAGAATTCTTACACTATTGTAGGGAAAAGTGGAAATTTTATGGCCAGGATTCTCACCTTGTCTGATTCTAATATTGCTCATTGAATACATATTTAGCCTGCTTGCATACCCCTTGGCAGAAGACTATTTATGGTTGATACTGCTTTAAGAAGAGCCATTTAGAACAAGCTATCAGTCATGGAAGTACCAGCCCAGGGGAGGGATGGAGAGGAAACACACAAGTGCCTGGATGTAACTGGTCCAGACTCCAACAGCCACCACAGAGACCAGCCCACAGAGTTCCACCAGAAGGGGAAGGGGAGAGCTTCGAGAGACGAGAGAGGGAGCAGGAGGGAGAAGCCAAAGAGCCCCAGTGCTAGGAAGGGAGAATAGAGTTCTGTACTAGGGAACAGGAGAGAGCAGAGGCTATAGTGAGGCTAGAGATGGAAATGGACTTGCCCCTTATACATAGCCAGGTAATTACCATGAGAGTAAATCTTGGTATGAGCCCCTTTTAACCTCCAACACTCCATTGTTGTTATCTGGTCTCATAGAATTCATAGTGAACTTGTCTGGAGAGGGGAACAACCTCCTCCTGGAGCAACAACAATTTACTTCTCTTTGTCTTTGTTCATCTGTACAGTGAGATGTACAGAGTGACAAGAGAAGTGAAGATATAGATAGTGTATATGCTAAAGACTGCAGGGAAAAAAGGGGAAAAGAAAAAGTGGGAAGAAATGGGAAAAAATTTTAAAGGGATTAAGGTGGTTCAGTAAAAATAAAACAGAAACTCTACTATACTCTGGAACAAGGATAACAGCAGAGTAGATTATTCTAAAAAAAAAGGTACAAAGTATACAGAAACAAAGATGAGAGAGGTTTTTGATATTCTAAAACGTGAATGGTGTTAAACCTTTAACAGGTACTCAAATTTGATTGGTTGAACTAATGTGTTACTAGGCTAAGACCTTATCTTCTGAACAGAGCCTAAAGTGTTCCACATAGGTCAAAGGATCCCATATATGGTTCCCAAACTACAGGAAAAACCTGGGCACATTGTGGAAATCCCTTAGGTTTTCATTCCGAAAGGTCTCAACATTTTTATCTATGGACATAGGTAATAGCCACACTACCTAAGGAAAATAAATGCAAAAATACTGGAACTGATTTATAACACTTTGGGGAATTAAAAAATAAATACGTTTCTTGATTTTCAAATATATAGTTTCAAAATGGAGCAAAAAAGATAGTGGAGTAGGAAGGCAAGGCAAAAACCTTCTCTTTCCACACACACACCATGGAAGCAACTACAACAAATGCAAATAACCCTTAAAATGATCTGAACACTGCAGAACAGACCACCTACACTTGGTGAAGAAAAGACCACACAGAGAAGGGTAAAGTGGCAGAGCCACAATCAGGACTCCAACCCTTCCCCCATCCTAGCCCAGAAGCAGGAGGAAAAGGAACAGAGCAGGAGTGGGTAAGTGCTCCAGAATCCTGCACACCTGGCCCTGGAGATCTGCTCTGGGAATGTGAGTCCACATTGCATTGAGCTCTGGTGATTGGTGGGGTTGGACTGGGGAGTGATGGAGCACTCTGGAAGGCTCAGATTCTAGCTGCTTGTGGAGGACAGCACTCTTCTGCCATCCCACTAAGACCCAAGAAAGAGGTGGGTGGCAGTTTAAAAGATTCACCAGGTACAGGAGGGGTGATGGAGAGTGAGGGTTAGATGGGGGTCTCTCTGCAGGAGAAAGGGAAGGTAAATGACACTTCCCCAGGCCTCCCATGGCCCAACCGGTTGGGCACTATCAGAAGCCCCAAAAGCTCTACTGGCGGCTTAGCCCTAAGTCACTTCTCTGTGCATAACTAGCACCCACCTACCTGCTCAGCCCAGCAGCATCACACTTTGCTGCCTGGCAGGCAGAGCGAGGCTTTCCCAGCTTTCTTGGCCCTGTTTTAGTCAGATTGGAGTCACCTACAGAAGCTATCTCGGAAAGTTCCTTACTCCTCGCGAGCAGCCCAGCCCAGTGTCAAGCACCCCTCCACTGCCATGCAACCACGCATGTGAGCCCCCGCTGCTGCTGCACGACACTGTGACTTGGCATTGCTGCCTCCATGCACCCACCCCATAACTGAACAACCACCCATACCACTACCCTGTTAGTCCAGCAGCCCCACCCACAATCCCAGCAGAAGCACTGCTGCTCTACTCACAAACGGCTGCCTGAGGCAAACTGACATCAGCAGCAGGCAGACTATAAGGCGGCCCCACCCACTGCCCACAAAGAGTAACTAGGGCCCCACCACAGAGGAGAGCCAGGTACTGGAGAGTAAAAAGTCTTGACCTTGAATTGGTAATCAAAAAACTCCAAACAAACAAAAGTCCAGGACCAGATGGCTTCACAGCTGAATTCTACCAGATATTTAAAGAAGAGTTAACACCCATCTTTATTGAAGTATTCCAAAAAGTAGAAGAGTAGGAAATATTGCTAAACCCATCCTATGAGACATCACTCTTAACACTAACACCAGGCAAAGACATCACAAAAAAGGAAAATTATGGACCAACATCCTTGATGAACATAGATGCAAAAATCCCAGATGAAATATTTGCACGCCTATTTCAAAAATACTCCAGAAGGATCAACGATCATGATTAAATGGTATTTATTCAAGGGATGCAAGGATGGCATAATATTTGTAAATTAATCAATATCACATACCACATTAACAAAAAGGATAGCAACCACATGAACATCTCCACAGATGCTGAAAAAGCATTGGACAAAATTCAACATCTATTCATGATAAAAATTCTCAACAAAATAGGTATAGAGGGTGTGTACCTCAACAAAAATTCCATATATGACAAACCCACAGCTAACATCATATTTAACGGTGAAAAACTGAAAGCTTTCCTCTAAGAGATGTCCACTCACACCAGTTTTATCCAACATAGCACTGGAGGTCCTAGCCACAGCAATCAGACCACACAGAGATAAAAGACATACCTATTGGTAAGGAAGAAGTTAAACTGTCACTATTTGCAGATTACATTATATTATACATAGAAAACCCTAAAGAATCCACCAAAAAACTATTAGAACTAGTAACTGGATTCAGCTAGGTTGCAGGATACAAAATTAATACACAGAAATCTGTTGCATTCCTATATACTAACAATGAACTAGCAGAAAGAGAAATCAGGAAAAACATTTCCATTTACAATTGAATAAATGAAGAAGAATAAAATAAGTAGGAATAAACCTAACCAAGGAGGTGAAAGATGTATAGTCTGAAAACTATAAGATACTTATGAGAGAAATTAAAGAAGACACAAATAATGGAAATCTATCCCATGCTCATGGATAGGAAGAATTCATATTGTCAAAATGGCCATCCTGCCCAAAGCAATATACAGATTCAGTGCAATCCTTATCAAAATACCAATGGCATTTTCAGTATAATCCTAAAGTTCAATATAATCCTCAAAATAATCCTAAAATTCATATGGAACCACAAAAGACCCCAAATAGCCAAAGCAATCCTTAGAAAAGAACAAAGCTGGAGTTATTATGCTGTTTTTATTTCAAGCTATACAATGAAGCTAGAGTAATCAAAACAATATGGTACTGGTACAAGAAGAGACCCATAGATCAATTGAATAGAATAAAGAGTCCAGATATAAACCCATGAATATATGGTCAATTAATATACAATAAAGGAGCCATGAATATACAATGGGGAAAAGACATCCTTTTCAATGACTGGTGTTGGGAGAATTGGACAGCTATATGCAAGAGAATGAAACTGGATTACTGTCTAATTCCATACACAAAAGCAAAGTTGAGATCAAAGACCTAGATGTAAGACATGAAACCATAAAATTTAGAAGAAAACATAGGCAAAAATCTCTTGAAATAAGCATGAGCAACTTTTTTCCTGGATACATCTCCTTGGGCAAGGGAAACAATAAAAAATGAGTAAGTGGGACTACATCAAACTAAAAAGCTTCTGTACAGCAAAGGACACCATCAGCAGAACAAAAAGGCATCCTACAGTATGGGAGAATATATTTGTAAACAACATATCCAGTAAGGGGTTAACATACAAAATATATAAAGCTCATAGACCTCAACAATATAAAAAACAAATAATCTGATTAAAAAATAGGCAGAGGACCTGAACAGACATTTTTCCAAAGAAATACAGATGGCCAACAGGCACATGAAAAGATGCTCCACATCATTAATCATCAGGGAAACGCAAATTAAAACCACAATGACATATCACCTCACAACAGTCAGAATGGCCACTATTCATAAGACAAGAAATAACAAGTGTTGACCAAGATGTAAAGAAATGGGAACCCTCCTAAACTGTTGGTGGGAATGCAAATTGGTACAACTGTGGAAAGCAGTACTGAGGCTCCTCAAAATACTAAAAATAGAAATACCATATGACTCAGTAACTCCACTTCTAGGAATTTACCCGAAGAAAGCAAAATCCCTGATTTGAAAAGATATATGCGCCCTATGTTTATCACCCCATTATTTATAATAGCCAAGATATGGAAGCAAAGTATCCATAAGTATATGAATGCATTAAGAAGACATGGTACATACACACAACAGGATTTTATTCACCCACAAAAAAGAAATAAATTCTGTCATTTACAACAACATGGATTGGCCTACAGGGTATGATGCTAAGTGAAATAAACCAGGCAGAGAAAGACAAATACCATTATGATTTCACTTACATGTGGAATCTAAAAACAAAACACAATGAAGAAAATAGCAATAGATTTATAGACACTGAGAAGTGACTGGTGGTTACCATAAGAGAGGGTGGGGGTGATAAAGGGGCATAAAAATTCTCAATCATAATATAAGTTGGTCACAGGAATGGTAGTACAGCATGGAGAATATAGCCAATGGTTCTGTAACATCTTCCTATGTCGACAGATAGTAACTGCACCAGTGTGGGTGAGGATTTAATAATATGGGTAACTGCTAAACCACTGTGTTATATGCTTGAAACCAATTGTATATCAACGATGCTTTAATGACATGAAATACACTGTTTATTTTGTCAGTCAATTTGATGAAGGATGAAGACAATTAAAGTAGCATTAATCTAGGTAAAAGAAATTCTACATTCTATTAAAGACTTGAGTTGCACTAAATCAAAAGGCTTCTCAACTGGGAATGAAAATACTATTTTTCTTACCCTCTGATGCGCCTGGTTATAGCAGCTCGTATAGATTCTGAAGCCAAAATTTTTTCTGGGTGTGCTGAAATTATATTCAATGCTTGTGGAATTGTTGGGGTTGTGGCGGGTAACCAGGATACTGCTCCAGGTTTCCTTGGTGCAGGAATAATACACAACTCCCCATGGTGGAAAAACACCTGCAAATTGATACATGTTAATTTTTATACTGGGTACTGACAAACTCTAAATGAAAATTGCAGCAACATGATTTCATCTCTAAATTTTCCAAACTTGGGCATACTTACCCTATTGGCACTATTCTCAGGATCCAACCATTTAGGGAGAAAGTCAGCAGCTTCTATTAATAAGAATTCACCATCATTGTCTTCAATCCTAATACAAAAGAAATTCCAAGTTTGCATTCAAAAAGCACCTATTTGCTTAATAATCAACACCAATTTGTCCTAATACATTTTCTCTTTCATCTTTGTAAATATCTACATACTATGTGTAGATAGTAAAACAAAATACTTAAGATACTATAAGATACCATATAGTCTGAAGGAGACTAAACATTATGAAAAGGAATTGGAGGGAGATAAAGAGAGAAGTACATAAATAAGTAACAGTAGGCAAAAATGTCAAAACTATACTAAGTACTATTTGGTTTCAAAAACTGAAAAGATCATATATAGCCAAGATGAGGAAAGCCTTTATGAAGTAGGTGTTACTTGGGCCTTCGAAGGTAATTTTGATTTGCCTCATTTGTATCGCTCTTTTTTAATTTAAAGTTTTGAATATGTTATACAGCCACATGGTTAAGACTTTCAAAAAATACATAAAAAGTTACACAATGAAAATTCTCCTTTCTACTTCTGTCCCTATATGCCCAATTTCAAACCCCCAGCCATTGTCGTTTCTTGTTTATTATTCTAGAGTTTGCTTATGCATAATCTAGCTAATAGGAATATAAATACATATTTTCTCCTCTTGCCACACAAAAGGTAGCAGATTTTATATACTATTTCTAGGCTTTTTCACTCTTAATGGGCGAGGATATGGGAAGAAAAGGAGAAATGTTCTTGGATGAGGGAATAGAATAAACATGGAGGTAGCGATTCAAGGTAGTATTTGGAGAATGAGAACTAGTAAAGAACAAGACTAGAAAAGCAGTCACATCATTTAGTGAAGAGCTTTAAATATTGACAGAATCAATGAAAATGAGCTTATAGACAAAAAGAATGAAGGCTCTAATAGCAGAGTAGTAGAATAGTTAGAGCTCTACCTTAGGAAGATTAATCTAGCGGAGACACGGAGAAAGTGCTTCTTTCTTTTTCTGTTTTTAAAAAAACTGACAAAACAGTAGATGCCTGCTATTTAAAGAGCTTCATAGGCCTGGTATGTTGGTATGAACCATCATTTTATAAATATCAAAATCAGTATACAAAAGGCGTTGCCCCTTCCTTATTTACTTGTAAAGGTAGAATCCAGTATTTTGTTTTTGTTCATTTAAAATGATCTTATTTTAAATAAAGAAATTATTACTATTTTCAGATATGGTAACAATAAGAGTTAAAAGTGTGTTTAAAGTAAGACTTATAATCTCTTTGATTTACATCCTGAATTATTTAAAAGTCAAATAGCACAGCACTGGAGATTTGCTCTAAAATAACTGCTATGTAATGGGGAAGTAGAGGAAGTATACTGATGAAGTAAGAATGACCATGAGAATGATTGTTGAAGCTTGGTGATGGATATGTGTGAATTCATTCTGTTTTTATGTTTGTGTGAAATTTTGATGTAGTAAGTTTTCAAAGTTGTTCTTTTTCTTTTTGCTCTGCTGGGGAAGAAGCTGGGTGGGTCGAAAATTGGAATTTGGAAATAACCAGGAAAACTAGGCCATGTGGTTAGGTCGGTGAAATGCCCTCTACCGACATAACTTGGTAATTACAGAGAACTATCAGTTACCATTTTAAAAACTGAATTAGAATGCAGTGTTATCTTCATTTCCTATATAATTTTTCATATTGATTTCTCTTTAAATTTATTTTATATATAATTACTCAAAAAATCCATATAGCTATAATCTAGTAAATCTGTGAAATATGTATATGTATATGTGAATGGAATTTCTTTTTAAAGATTCACAAGAAATTTGATGATTACTTCTGGGAGAAGTCAGAACAGTACACCATTTTGTATTGTTTGATTTCATTTACTATGCATATTTGTTATTTCATAAGGAGAATTCAAAAAAGAAAAAAGAAGCAGACTTTGTTTGAAATTTTTGGAAGCTAAACTCTCCAATGATACTTTAATTCCTCCACAAGAAAAAAGGAAGACAACAAGAGAAAAGGAAGAAAACACAGAAGTCACTTTAAGATGTGTCCCAAATCCATATGATTTTCACCAGATAGAGGGAAAAAAATTACTAAATGAATAAAAATATAGTCAGCTTCAATAACAGAATTCCTTTAGAATTATTAATATAACTAAAATACCTTGCTACTAACTCCGGAAATTCCTTTGTGATTTGCTTTACTAAATAAACAATAAACCATTCATCCTCAATGTTATCCCCGAACTTTGTCACGCCAAACATATGAGCCGGAACACCTTCTAAAAATAAGAGAAAAGCAATCATATAACCAAGTAAGTTTATGTCAGTGCAAATAAAAATGCAAGGAATCATTCAATTAAACATTCACTGACTATGTGCTAGGTACTATACTGGGAGTTTATGTTGTGATCTTGAATAAGATACAAAAGCCTACTTTTGAAGGCTTGAGGCTCTAGACAATAGGAGATAGACAACCAAGCCATCTCAAAACATGATGAACAGAGATATGCATGGAGGGCTATGTGAGCATAAAGACTGATATCTGACCAATGCTCATTTGGGTAACTGAACAGAAGTAGGCTTTCCACAGAGAACAGCATGTGTGAAGGCACAGAGGCACAACCAACATAGATTATTCTGGGAAACTCTGTAAGATTTAGATGGGGTAGAAATTTTCAAATAAGTACATTATCCCAAATTATGTAGCATTTGAACAACACACTCTTAAACAACCAATGGATGAAAGAAGCAATCACAAGGGAAATTAGAAATTATCTTGAGAAAAATGAATACAAAAACATAATGTACCAAAACTTACAGGATGCAGCAAAAGCAGTGGTAAAAGGATGTTTATAGTTATGAGAGATCTCAAATCGGTAACATAACTTTACATATTAAGAAACTAGAAAAGAAAAACAAACTAACCCCAAAGCTAGCAGGAGGAAATAATGAAGATTATAACAGAGATAAATAGAGAATAGAAAAACAGTAGAAAAAAATTAAACTGATTTGTTTTGTTGAAAAAATCAACAAAATGGACAAAACAGACAAATTAGATTGATAAGGGAAAAAAGAAGACTCAAATAATTAAAACCAGAAATGAAAAGGGATATTACCACCTATGCCACAGAAATAAACAATAAATATTGAATATATATTAATTCTTAAGGTAATGACTACTAGAAAGTTTTCATCAATATGAATCCAAAAAATATTCTTTTTTGTAAATTTAAGGGCTTAATGGAATTATAGGGAATCATCACTCAACTAAAAAGTTGAGGATATAAATCTTCTGACAACACTGAATGAACTACAGACTATTATACATCACTGTTGTCAGAAGGCAATTAAAGATCACACATCAAATCAAAATAAATACAAGAGCCTTACCTTTTCCAGGTTTACATTTGAGATTGAAAGGCTGATTTTGCCAGATATATGGGACCAGCATAGGGGCAAACTGGGTCATTATCCTCTCAATATACTTATGAAGAATCTCTTTATGTTTTTCTGGGTCTCTTGGTTCATCTGGTATTAGGAAAAGGTGGTACTCCACAGTGTCTTCCACTGTAGCAAACTTCATATTTTCCTCCATTCTTCTTTGAAAGCTGCATATAAACTTTCAGTGGTATGAACCACACAGAATAATGTAAAGTAATATCCTATTCCCTTAACAATTCTAGGCAATTCCATAAACACTGTTTTCTAAAATTCATTATCCACTATTACCATCATAATTTTTGCCTTGACCATGTACCAACTATGGTAACATTTATTTAGTATTTTTTTTTTTGAAAAAATTTTTTTGGTTTTATTTTGGTATCATTATTTAGTATTCTTTTAATGACATTTTTATACTTAAAATTACATTAAAGGAGCTTTTGATAAAATACAATGAATGGATATCCAGTATCACATTCCCAAATTAGTTAAGTATGTAAAAATAAAAGATGTTTGCCCTTGTACTAGCAGTAGCATGTAATACACTGTGAAAAACACAGCAATAACATCTTATGCTTAAATACTATCAAAAGTCCTGATTCTGCTACTAATTAGTTGTGTCACTTTGGGTACTTCACTTTCTCTGAGTCTTTTTTCTTAATTGTAGAATGAGAATGTTACTCTATCATCTCTAAAATCCAACCTCCAATTTCAATTTTTATTACTTAAACACTCCTAAGAGCAATCTTCCTTACTCTGCAGAATTTAAATCTCTCCCTTTAATGAACACTGTATGCCCTAGGGGAATTCAAAAGTACAAAACATTCAGGTCCTATCATCTAAACCCCAAAATAATTTGCCTATGTTTCTTGGTCCTACAACTCTCTGTCCTAAATTTGCCCCCTTTTCAGCTCAAGGGGTATAGTTCCGGTATATTAAGAGGTAGGAGATATCTCTTTATTTTCTACGGGTTTCCCTTACAAACAAAAGTCCTGGTTTACTACTGCTGCCAGATGAAGGCACTTAACTGGGCGATACACTCTAAGGTAGCAATTCGATTTTTATGCGTATTCAGTTTTCTAACTAATAAAAAGAGGTTGAGAGGAACCTACATTTTCTACCCACTCACGCACCAGTTATTCCAATCATTTGGCCTTTCAACCTAGAGGGGCAGATAATAATTTTAGCCCCCGCCCCCCAAAATGCCAAGCGCACCTAACTATGAATTACTGTCAGAACTGGAAGGGACTTAAGAATTACTCAGAATAACTTCTCACTATACATAAAAAGAAGAGACCAAGCAGCAGAGGCCTGAAGTGGAGTCTACTGCTCTTTACTCAGACAGGTTCCCTGCTTCAATCTTGACAAAATGAAGCCAATTCCGCTTACGATTCTAGGACCTCTCTTGCACGCCTCTGTTGCAGCCTTTTCTCAGCCCACCTCCCGCCACTTGAGCTGGTCGGGAGCCGTCCAGTAGCCGCGAAAGCCTGGCCCAAGTTTGGTCCAGACACCAGTCAGGGAACAAAGGGCCGCGGAATCTTTGAGAGACAGCCAGAATCCCTCCCGGCCCTGGAACCCCCTCGCGCCGTCACTGCTGCGCGACGTCGCGGAGGAGCATTAGGCTGGTGCCCGGTACCTCCGTCACTTCCGCTCCCGCGGGGAAGAAGAGAGGGCGGAGGACTGGAGAGGTGGGGCCCGGTGGAGGTGGCGGTCAGGAGTCTAGGCGACGGGGCGTGACGGGTCGGGAAGTGGCCGGGCCAGAGCCGGCGGGAGGGCCTGGCACGGAGGCTCCCACAGTGGCGTGCCCACCCCGGCCACGGCCGAGGAGGATGATCTCTAGATACACTCGGAAGGCGGTGCCACAGAGCTTGGAGCTGTGAGTGGACTGCTCCGCCACCCCAACCGGGGCCGTGGGAGGCCGAGGCGGGCCGCGGGCGCTCTGGGGACCTCTCTGACCAGACCCTCCCACCTCTCCTTTCCCAGGGCGGGGAAAATTTTTCTTCGGAATTCTCTCTTCCCAGCCTTGCCGGACGCTGCCCCTTCTACCTTTTTCTGCTGAGGGCGTGTCACCCTTGCTATCCTGGGGTTGGCTCTCTTGAGCTGCACTTCTGAACTCAAGAGACTGGGTCTCCTACGGCGTTTGTAGTTTTCGCACCGATTGATGCCCCACTGTCAGTAGCCAGTAACGACTTGATAAATTATTAATAGCTGAGTGCTACAATAAAGTTGAATAATTCAATGCCAGGCAAACTGCTTGCTTGAATTAGCTCACTTAATCCTATCAACAAGGATATCAGATAGGGACTATTATTTTTCACATTTTACAGATAAATATCCCCGATTTAAAGATTACACAGCCATAAAGTGGTGGAGCTGAAGTACTAATCTGGTGCCAGTATGATTGTGAAGCCTGCGATCAAAGCCATTATACATACTGTTTTCCCACCTCTGCAATTGATCATCAGAATCCTTAAAGGATCAGTTTTGTATTGCTCTTGAGATTTTAGAGAGCAAATATTTCTGGCTTAAAAACCTTCCCACCCCTAGTAAAGTGTAATTTAGCAAGTAATGATAATATCTTATACTTTTAGACTTCACATCTTGATCCTTATAACAACTCTGTAAGATGGGTATGATTATCTTCAGTTTTTCAGACTAAGTAATATTAGCAAGATTATACATTTTAAAATTATATAACTAACAGGTTTCGAGCTTTGGCTTTTTAACTCCACATCCCAATTTTTTTCCTCCACTGAGCTATGTGATTTTAGCAACCATGCACACTTACTAATTGAATATTTTCTATACATAGTAATGACCACCATGGTATTTTCAGTCAAGTCAGTTTCTGGCTGAGCCCCTTTCTAGCCATTTGACTTCATTTCTGTAAAGTAGGAATAAGATCTTACCTAAGAGCATATCTAAAGTGATGGCACAGTTTACCTCAGTAAGTAGTAATTGTCCCTTCCCATATTTACTTGGTATTATAGCTATACAAAGAAAATAAGTGTATGATCCTTCCTTGCCTTTCAGAAGCTTATTATATTTAAGTAGTAGGATATTTACCTAGCAATTTAGATAACGATTTTAGGAACTAGGAAGAAAGTCATTTCCCAATAAAGCAAACAGAACTTAGCTGAAAATGTGCTATACAATTAATTCTGACCATTCTGAGAGTAAAACAAAAAACTTTCATGGAAAAAATTGTTAATAGGCACATGTTGCACCAGAATTACTCACCCTGTTTAGTTATGTTACTTGTTCTTTGTTGTTGATTTGATATTCCCTAAGGATAACTATCCCAAAAGATGATTCTTCAAAGGAGTCGGGATGATTTTAAAAATAAAGATGATGAAGATTATGTGCATCTTAAATGACAGTAAATTTAAAAGCAGTTTTACTTAAGGTGTTATAATGATAATTTGCTTCGAATAATTAACTTTAGTTTTCTTCCTAATAGTTCCAAATTATAGATATTGAAAAGTTTGGGGAAAAAGTGACTTTCAAGATACAGCTTAACATTTGTGAATGTTATATAAATGGAATCATACAGTATGTAACTTTATGAGGTTTGCTTTCTTGTATTAAGCATGATGCCCTTGAAATACATCTAAAAATTTGGGTGTATCAATAATTCACTCCTTTTTAATGCTGAATCATATTCCATTGTGTGGATATACCAGAATTTAACTGCTCACCTGTCAAAGGACATTTTAGTTGTTTCCAGTTATTTTTCAATTATAAATAAAGCTTATGTGAACATCTGCATACAGATTTTTGTGTCAACTTACATTTTCAGTTCTCTGGGATCAATGCCCAAGAGTGAATGGCTAGGTCTTGTGCTGAATGTATGTGTTTAGTTTTATAAGAAACTGAAACTGTTCCAGAGGGGCTGTACCATCATTCCTATCAGCAATGTCTGAATCATCCAGTTTCTTTACATTATTGCCTGCATTTGGTATTATCACTATATTGTATTTTAGCTACTTTAAGAGGTGTGTGGTTAAACCTTTTCAATTTGCAGTGAAATTAATTTTAAGAATGTATTTTGTTTAACCCAGTATATCCAAATATTATCATTTTAACATGTAACCAACATAAAATACTGATATATTGTACATTCTTGTTATACTAAGACTTCAAAATACTCTGTTTTACATTTAAAGTACATCTCATTTCTGACTAACAACATTTTAACTGCCAGTGGCTAATGCCTACTATATTGGACAGTGTAGTTACAGAGCAGCAAGATATAAGTGACTAACTTATAGATCAATTTACTGAAAAGTATGTTTTTTTTTCTTTACAGAAAATATAACTTTGTTTTTATCTTTCATAGGAAAGGAGTAACAAAACATGCTCTTAATCATCATCCCCTCCCAGAACAACTGGATGAAATTTCCTCTACAAACGACATCCATGAAAAAGACCTAAGTTCCCACAGGTAATAACACAAAATGTACTTTGCTTATTACACTTGAAAATAACAGAAGTTTTGTTTTTTGGCTAGGATTGGTATTAAGCCTTGTACTAATGAAACAAAGTAAAAGCTTTTATCAGGTTTTCAGTGTCATTCAACTTTCATTCTGGAACAGCTCATGGAAACAACAACATTCCTATTGTTTTAACCCTTGAAAAGTAGTATTATGAAGTAATTAAAAGTCAAGAATCAAAAGGAGTCCATCATATCTGAATTTTAATCCTGGTTCTGCCACTTACTAACAGAGTAGCATTGGGCAAGTTACCTTATAATAGTATCTCTTAAAGGGTATTGTGAATATAAATGACATAAAGTACATAAAACTTGGCATATACTAAATGCTAATTAACTTATTAGCTGCAGTTAATTATTTTAATGAATGGAGGAGACTAATGTCAGAGAGGTTTCTGAGAAGCAATGTGGCATCCCAGAAAAATTTGAGTCATAAAGCCTTATTTCAAAGCCAACTAAATCTCACATTCTGTCTTTAAAATGGGGTTGAGTTCTACATCACCCAGTAGTTGTAAAGACAGAATGTAACAAAGTGCTTGGTAACTGTAAAAATATCATAAAAGTTCAGGTACTATTAATATTTCTGAAATGTCTTTAGTAGTCAAGGGTGCATATTGTAAGTGGAATGTTAAAGTATTCATTGTGAACTATGACTAGAATTATTTAGAGTGCTTGCCATCAATTCTATGGGAATTAGGTAGGACTTGATGTTTTAATTTCAAGTTCATTTATTTTTGCCTCTATGGGTGTATTTGTGTATATATATATATATATATTTTATAACCCAATAAATTGCAGAAGCTTAAAGAAACATAAGGACTTAACTGTTTTCTCTCCTCCTTCCAATTGTGCATTTAGTGAATCTGACATCACACAAGAATCACCTTTTACATCAGCTGACACTGGGAATTCAAGGTCTGCTTTTCCAAGCTATACAGGCACAAGGATCTCTACTGAAGGCAGTTTGGACTTCTGGAGATATGGTGTGAGTTTTATGTTATTGGACCGATGGAGTGCTGGGGAGGCTATTTTGAGAGTTAGGATTTGTCAGTTTGTCAGTATATTTCACTCCTTCACTCTTACATTGTTTCTTTACATTTTAATACTGAAGTTTACCACACTTTATAATAGTTGTAAAGAAGCATCAGTCTAGACGCTCTTTCAGTATTTGTTTTGTTTTATGGATACAGTAATTGATCCTTAGAGATGTTGTGTGTTTGACTTAACCAGTTACAGGTTAGTGTGGATCTGCGCCTTGAATGTACTTCCTTTGCTGTGCTCAGTCCACTAATGTCTCTCCACCAATAATGTTACCTTGCTGTTTAAAATGTTTTTGGAAGTTTATTATTAAGCCACTCAAGACTGGGAAAATGTTTATGATATATTGTTAAATGAAAAAAAAGCAGGTTAAAAATAGTATGTACAGGGTGATTTTAATTTTAGTTTAAATGTATTTTTGCCTATATATATATATATATATATTTTAAAAGGATTAAGATATTTACCCAAAATGTTACTCAGTCATTACTAATTGGGTGTTGAGATAATGAGATTAACTGATTCTTCATTCATTCCTTCATTCATTTATGGCTATCTTCCATTATAAGCTACCATTTTTAAAATACCATCAACCTTAAAAGACAAATTTTATGCATACTTATAACTTTGCTACAGTAAAAATTTTCTTTCTGTATCCTCTTTCAATCTATTTAATTTGACCTAGCTGTAATCATGGTACACATACAATGTAATGCTTAATTTTTTTGCTTATTATTTTATAAGCACTTTTCCACAATACTGACTTTATACAGTATTTTTGTTAGCAACCTGCCTTCTTTATAAAAAAGTCTGCTAATTATTGAAACCTATTATCACCATAAATTATTTTCCAGTGATTTTAATTTGGGTGTATATATACTTTACTTACGGAGTTATATGATATATATACATCCTGTTTTGTGGCCTGCTTTTTCATGTAGACATTTTCTGTTACTATGTCCATCCTGTCAATTTGAATAGTTATATAAGATTTCCTTGTTTTAATGTGTCGTAACTGGCACTTACCCATATTATCTGATACTTGAGTTTTCAGTTTTTCTTCATTCATTCAACAAATATTTGTTGAGTACATCTGTTGTCAGATGTACTGTACTTGAGAATATGGGATAAGTGAGACATGATTCAATAATCTAATAATTACTAGATTATTGAGGGAGAGCCAATGAGAGAGACTGACAAAAACAAACAAAATAGTACGAAAGGTGGTAAGTGCTCTAAGAAGACAAAAGGGTGCTGAGATAGAACAATGTAAGAGGGATTCACTTCAGATAGGTACGGTAGAACTGAGACTTGAAGACTGTAGCATTAACTACATGAAGAATGAGGGAAATCTTTCTAGACAAGTAACCAGCGACATATGCAAAAGCCCTAAGGAGAAAAAGAGCTTAATGTTTCCAGGAGAAAGTGTTTCGTGTATTTTTGGAACTGAAAAAAAGGTTAGGGTGGTTGGAGGATGGTGTACCAGGGGAAAAAATCATAAATGAGATTGGAGAGGTAAGGAAAACTAGATCATATAAGGCATTGTAGGCAATGGTAAACAATTTTTTTATCCTAAAGGAATGAAGTAATTTATTTGACTTATTTTGAGTTTTCTAATGTACTGACTGTACCATTTCCATCAGTTGTTTCTATATGGTAATTAGTATCTCTTTATAAAAAGTTATGAATGTCATTAAATGTTTTCCGATTCCCTCGTTTTCCTTTTGGTATTTATTATGTAACAAATTTAAAAAATATATTCAGATATAACCATCTCACTTTTAACCTTCATTTCTGTATTAGTCAGGATTTTATCTTTAGAAAGATGGAGTATTATAATCTTCCTCATAGGTTTTTATTTTGCATGTCTAGGTTTTTAACTCACCAGAGTGTTTTTATGTGGTGTAAGGTAGTGAACTGGGTTCTTATGCTGCTGAACTTACTTTGAACAATTTTTCAGTTTCACTTAATATCATGTGATTTTCATATTCTAAAAATCTTTAAAGCAAACTTACCAGTGTTCGTTAAACAACATATATTATTTAGTATTTGTGTCCTCTTTATCTTTGAGATAAATTTTATTTTCACTTGTATCAAATTTTATAAAATAATCACTAGTGGTTTAATAGGTATTGCATTATAACTTCATGCTAAATTTGGGAAATAAATTAGAGAGAACTAAAATGTATGGAATATTCAGTAGATGCTAGGCATTGTGCTAAGTTCTTTATATACACATTTCAATCATTTATCATCTTAACCGAACTTTAGTATTCTTTCTAGAAATACAGTTCTTTTATTTAGACCTTCCTTTCTCTTTATCATTTTATTATTTACTTTGAATAAATCTCTTATTGGAAGTTACAATTGATATTAAAATTAAATTTCATATTTAATTGTAGGTTTTACTTACTTTTGAAATGTCTTAGTGTTTTTGAGCTACCACTCGTATATAGGAATATAGTTTTCCCCCACTTTAATTAATGGCCTACTACTTTACTAAATGTATTATTATTTATAATCATTCTGCAGTTTATATTCTGAGGTTTATTTCTTCTAAAATATTTTAAAATCAAGGTTAGTATAGTGGTATGAAAGATTTCTTTTTTATTCTAATTATATCTATTATTTAAAACTATAGCCATCAGTCATAAAAATAGCTAACATTTCTATTCTATTTTAGTTTTATATGCTTTGAGTTGGTTTTTTTCCTGCTTTTTTAAAAAATTCAAGTATAGTTGATATATAATCTTATATTGGTTTCAAGTATACAACACAACAGTTACCCATATTATTAAATCCTCACCCCAACTAGGGCAGTTACTGTCTGTTAACATAGGAAGATGTTACAGAATCATTGGTGGGTTGATTTTTTTTTTTTAATAATCAAGTAAGGTTTATTCTAGCAATACAAAGTTGGGTCAGTATCTGCAAATGTATTAATATAATTAACATTAGTGAATGAAAAGAAAAAATATGATTAATAGATGCTGAAAAGGTGTTTGATAAAGTTAAAAAAACATTCCTTTAAAAATTCTCAAGATAGAAGGAAGCCCTTGAAACTTGTAATGACTGTTTGCCAATTGAATAGCAAATAATCAATTTAAATGACAAAACACTAAATGTATTTCAATTAAAGTAAGAAACCAGACAGGAATTCTTTGTTAACAAATTTATTTGATTCCTTTGCTAACTTTTTTTTTAACTATTTTAATTTTTACATAAAACTTGTCATAATAATACACTGTGTTCAGGGCCATTTGTTTTTCCACTTAATGATACGTTTTGAAGGATATCCATATTATAAAAAGCTTACTTGTTCTTAAATAGCTGCATAGTCATTGCTATTTACAAAAAAAAGCTGCATTTATAATGCTGCTCATAGATTATTTTACATAAATGCATACATGATGGCGGGTAATTTCTAGAGGTAGAGTTGCTGGTCAAAAGATAACCTGCTTTTGTAATTCTGAAAACTATTGCCAAATTGACCTCTGTAGAAGTTATTCCAATATACAGTCTCACCAGGAACATATGGGAAGGCCTGTTTTCCTACACTCAATCTAAACAGCAAATTATCAAACTTTTTAGTCTTTGCCAGACTTTAAGGTTTAAAAAAAAAAAACGTATCTGCCCAACCATATATGGTCAATTACTATATGATAAAGGCGCTATGGACATACAATGGGGAAATGACAGCCTCTTCAGCTAACTGGTGTTAGCAGAACTGGACAGCTACATGCAAGAGAATGAAACTGGACCATTGTCTAACCCCATACACAAAGGTAAACTCAAAATGGATCAAAGACCTGAATGTAAGTCATGAAACCATAACTCTTAGAAGACAACATAAGCAAACATCTCCTGAATATAAACATGAGCAACTTCTTCCTGAATGCATCTCCTCGAGCAAGGGAAACAGAAGCACAAATGAACACATGGGACTACATCAAACTAAAAAGCTTCTGTACAGCAAAAGGCGCCATCAACAGAACAAAAAGGCATCCTACAGTATGGGAGAACATATTTGTAAATGACATATCCAACAAGGATTAACATCCAAAAATAAAGAACTCACATGCCTCAACACCCAAGAAGCAAATAATCCAATTTAAAAATGGGCGGAGGATATGAAGAGACAGTTCTCCAAAGAAGAAATTCAGATGGCCAACAGATACATGAAAAGATGCTCCACGTCACTAATCATCAGGGAAATGCAAATTAAAACCACTAAGAGCAACAAATGTTGGTGAGGATGTGGAGAAAGGAGAACCCTCCTACACTGCTAGTGGAAATGTAAGCTAGTTCAACCATTGTGGAGAGCAATATGGAGGTTCCTCAAAAAACTAAAAACAGAAATACCATTTGACCCAGAAATCCCACTCCTAGGAATTTACCCAAAGAATACAAGTTCTCAGATTCAGAAAGACATATGCAGCCCTATGTTTACTGCAGCACTATTTACAATAGCCAAGATATGGAAGCAACCTAAGTGTCCATCAGTAGATGAATACATAAAGAAGATGTGGAACATATACACAATGAAATACTATTCAGCCATAAGAAACAAACAAATCCTACCATTTTCAACAACATGGATCGATATGGAGGATATTATGCTTAGTGAAATAAGCCAGGCCAAGAAAGACAAGTGCCAGATGATTTCCCTCATTTGTGGAGTATAAAAACGAAGCAAAACTGAAGGAACGAAATAGCAGCAGACTCACAGACTCCAAAAAGGGACTAGTGATTACCAAAGGGGAGGGGTGTGGGAGCGGGTGGGTGGGGAGGGAGGGAGAAGGGGATTGAGGGTTATTATGTTTAGTACACATGGTATAGGGGGGTGATGGGGAAGACTGTAGCACAGAGAAGGCAAACTGAATCTGTGGCATCTTACTGCACTGATGGACAGTGACTGCAATGGGGTGTGGGTGGGGACTTGATAAT